GGCCCTACCCGGTCACTGCCCTGACAGACACTGCAGGCTGGGGGCCGCATCCGTACTGACCTCAAGGAGGGCAGGGGGCTGTCACAAAGGGCTCCACTGTGACCCGCTGCATGGGTGCACCCAAACATACCATATATCGCAACAGCAATTCCACCTCATCGCGGTGTGCAGCAGACAGGAGGTAACATTTAAGGCAATACTCGCCCAGGTTGATGACAGCGGCCGTGTTTGGTGATTGCCAAGGCTTGCACTGCCTGAAAGCCTTTGCCTTTTCCTACGCTGTCCCCAGCGACTGGGTTGAGAAGGGCCAGAAGCTGGGAAGGGACTTGGCCAGGGCAGCTGCCCCATGCTGACCAGGAGCACAGTCAACACCATGGTGGAGAACACACTCTTACAATCAGAGATCACAGAATCACAGAATGTTAGGAGTTGGAAGGGACCTTGAAAGATCATCCAGTCCAACCCTCCTGCCAGAGCAGGATCACCTGGACTAAGTGATTGTACATGCAGCAGCCCTAGGTCCAGTCCAAACATGACAGGGTATCCAAAATGAGCTCTACACCGCAGCTGGGGATAATGGTCCTACCTGGAGCCTCTGGCAGAAAGCACCAGGGGACACTCGAGGTTGACCCCTAGAATTTCACAGTCAAGGACAGAAAGGCTCTGAGGGCAACAGGACTCTGGCTGAAACAGAAATACTGGCAGCACATGAGGCAAGCAGAGCTGCTTGGGAAGCGGCTATCCCTGCAGCACCACTCCTCCTGGCACCCTGATGACCAGAACTAGGCTGGGTGTTCAAGACTCAGTTTCCTTCTACCCATCGTGCCACTGATGCTCCAGGGAGTCAACCTCCCACCAGCCCAGGTTGCCCAAAGCCCCGTTCAACCTGGCCTTGAACACTTCCAGGGAGGGGGCATCCACAACTTTCCTGGGCAACCTGTGCCAGTGTCTCACCACCATCACAGTAAAGAATTTCTTCCTAATACCCAGTCTAAATACTCTTACTAAATACCCTCTTCCAGTTTAAAACCATTCCCTCTCGTCCTATCACTACCTGCCCTTATAAAAAGTTTCTCCTAAGCTTTCCTCTAGTCCTTCTTCAGGTATTGGGTCTCACAAGAGCAGAATAGAGGGGCAGAATCACCTCCCTCATCCTGCTGGCCACACTTTTTGTGATGCAGCCCAGCACATGGCTTGCTTTCTGGGCTGCAAGTGCACATCGTCAGCTCATGTTCAGTTTTTCACCAAAAAACACCCCCAAGTCCTTCTCCTCAGGACTGCTCTCGAGCCATTCTCTGCCCAGCCTGTATTTGCACTTGGGATTGCCCTTACCCTGGCACAGGACCTTGTTGAATTTCATGAGGTTGGCCTGGGCCCACCTCTCCAGCCTGTCCAGGTCCCTCTGGATGGCATCCCTCCTTTCAGCATGTCTGAAGCATGGTGGTGTTGGCAGACTCACTGAGGGTGCACTAGATCCCGCTGCCCTTGTCTCCGAGAAAGATGTTAAACAGCACCTGTTCCAATACCGATGCCACTTGTTGCTGATTTCCACTTGGACATTGAGCCATTGACTGCAACTCTTTGAGTGCGACCATCCAGCCGATTCCTTGTCCAGCGAGTGATCCATCTGTCAAATCTATGTCTCTCCAATTTAGAGACAAGGACATAGAGTGGGCAGCATCAAACACTTTGCACAAGTCCAGGTTGTTAAGTAGCTGGGACCAATAGTAGAATTTCTCTTGTCTTTTTCAAAAATAAAATCACTTTTCCAACACTTTCAAGAAAACAAAGGATCTAGATGACAGAAACAGAGTAATCCAAGATTATTGACACATTGAGTTTATTTAACATTTAGAGGAAATCCAAGTCTAGACCAAAATCAATAGCAAAACTACCATTGCTTTTAATAGATTAATGACTAGTGGTCCTTTCATTTCATGATTTAACTTATGTCTATATGTATTTGAATATTTATGCAAATTAATACAAAGATCAAAAAGGAAAAGAAAGGTTAAAAAAAAGGGTTAGCATATAGTACTGTCCTTTGGTCAAAATAGCTGTTAGGACACACATGAAATATTTTAAGTTAGTTCAGAAATACTGTTGTTTGTGTTTTGGTTCACCAATTATCATTTCACTTGAAAAAATCTGGTCTATAAGCTAAGGTTTGAATGAGCTAAAGGAAGCATAAATGCATAAATTACTGTATTCAGTAACAGAAGTAACTGCATCAGATAAGTTTAAAAGATAAGAAAAAGAAAAGCGTCATCAAAATGGACTCTTGAGATGATGATAACCTACTTCAAAATTCCATAGAAAAACCATATCTTTTTCTACTCTTAACTAAGTTTACAAATATTCGTAACAACAACCAATGAGTTGTTCAATGGGTTGCAAGAATAAACTGTCCTGATTCCCTTCTGCCGGTCCATTATTGACAGGCTGCTGGAGATCCTCAGGAGACGTAAATGCACTTGTACACAGTGCCTGGGTCAGAACCAACGTGAGCAGCGTCCAAAGGGCTTTCCAGACAAATCCATCATGGAATTTCAGGAGCAATGTTTCCAGCAGAAGAAAAGCTGCCATTTTCACCAGATTGTGGATACTGATGTCTGTCAATCTAACCAATCTTTCAATGTCACAGATATTTTTACAGCTACTGATTCAGGTAAGAAAAAAGATTTTTTAGAAAAAAGAAGTTATTACTCTGAAGTAGGTAATGATCAATGGTAAATCCTTAAATATATGCTTGAGTGCAAGAAATTAAAGCACAGATAAAAACACTTCTCTGACCTCTGCAGACATTCAAAACCTGCCTGGACGCCTTTCTGTGTAACCTCATCTGGGTGTTCCTGCTCCGGCAGGCGGATTGGACTGGATGAGCTTTTGAGGGCCCTTCCAATCCCTAACGTTCTGTGATTCTGTGATTCTGTGACCTCTGTAATTTTGAACATAAGACGTCTTCCTACAAAAACTCCTTTTCTGTTCACACGTCTATAAAACCCCATACCTTTCTTTTCATGTCCCCAAACTTTCTGTGTGAGCTCAAGGCATTCCATATACATACACTACGCAATAAATTGATTTATCTTGCATTACTTAGGTTTTTTCAGCATGCTGCTCAGTAATCCACTTCTCCAATGACTTAGGTGCACATTCCAAACTCTGAAGCCACGGTAAGATCTTTTAAGGTAAGACCTCTTTTAAGGTAAACTGCCAGAAAATGGGTTGGTTTTTTTTTCTCTCCTCTCTTTAAAATACACATGTATATAACAAAGAGTAGGTAGATCAAACTTTGGATGTAAAAAAAAAAACCCACCTTCACTATTGTCCTTTTAAAATAGGTAAGAGAAATATCTCCTCTGGAAACTGAAAATAGCATGAGTAATTTCTGTCCTCTTTTCAGATTTTGCTATTATTCCCCTGGAATACAGTGAGCTTCTTGGCTTTGATTATTATAAGCAATATGAAAAATTCCACCTAGGTAATCTAACAGAAGAAATTTTATGCATGTTTTATGCTAGACTGATCTTTCTGCTCTCCTTTTAATATTCAAGCTTTCACAGACGTAATCTCGCATGCCAGACTGCAGAACGCAGGTTTCACTGCTATGCAGCCACACCAGTGTTTTACACGCGCTCAAGCCGCACGCCACACCAGACACCGAAGATGCACACAGCTTGCAAATAACCAGTTCATTTGCTTGATGTACTCGTAAAGCCATTTACATCAGGGAGCCCAGGGTCAGAGCTCATCCTCCCAGCATGGAATGCGCTACCTGCGCTGCACCTCAGACCTGCTGAGCTTCCGTGACTGCAGCCCAAGACCCTTCACATAAATCTAGCCAGGGGCCAAAGGCAAAGAATGCACGTAGGTAGGGACAGTACTATTAAACAGGTCTGGGTTGTTTGGTTTGGTTCCCCCCCTTAATCAGTGAAGGCACATTTAAGTGTTGCCTTTTTAAAACCAGTACTCACAAAGGGATACTGCAGGAAACACTTCTTTAACCACTGTCCTACATTCAGCTTCTTCCTTTCTCCCTTGGAGGGCTCAGTCCCAGTTTGTAAGAGTCTCACTCAATTTTAAAGGAAACAACTCCAGAAGTCACAGTCTTCATACATCTGAGCATCATGCAGGTACTCAAGTTATCCCTAAACGACTTTCCATTTATTTGGAGTTACATTAGAATAGATACAGGTTGCACAAATAAAACACTGATTTCACGAAATTCAATGCTTCAGTCGTATCACTGCTTCAACCAAAAAGGGGGGGAGGGGGGCAGTGAAGAGAAGGCTGTAGCTTAACTAATAGGCTAGCATTGAACAATATTCTCCAATTTCTTTAGGTTCAGGCCTTCAAAACCCTTATTTTCCTTTTCACCAATTTTAAAATTAAAAATACACCCTCAACACCACAAATGTATGGTAAATAAAATTTGTATGCAAGTAGTGAGACCTCAAAAGTGCCACTGGACCACCAACAGCACGAGTATCATATTTCATGTTTTCACAAGGTCAAGGACAGATGAATCCAGATGCGATCCAAAGACTGATGGCAGCACGTAACTCAACTCATTTTGTTAACAGCACAGCACTCTCCAAGGAAGCATTTATGAAACGTTTTTCTATACAGTAAGACCTTGTCACACACCATTAAACATCTTTAAAAACAGTCCCCTGTGATGTAGGGGAAACTTCTCAGCCAAAAGACAAAGAATCTGAAAAAGGGTACTTCTGTTATGCTTAGACAAATGAGCAAATACTAAATGTTCTGCAAAAGTAAAATACTTTATTCAGCATGGAAGCCGTTAATTCTTAAGAGAAACCAAAAATGCCTTCTATTATCTAATTACTGCTGATTGCCTTTTCAGCTGCCACTCCTTGTTTGGGTTTCGAGTAATCCCAAGGTCTCCTGTTCTCTGTATACCCATAGAGCTTCCGCAGCGCCACGCGGGCAGCCTCCTCCTCTGCAGCAAGCAGCGTTTCACCAGGACCTTCAGCTATCATCTTCTTATTGCTTGGAAAAAACAAACAAACAAAAAACCATTTTCATAATGAAATCCTAAGCACTGCTGTGTATCGTCAATAAGGGCTGCTAGGTTATTCTTTTTCTCCAATGTCTATGAATACCAACATTTCAGTCGGTCTTTCCTGCAAAGATAAGTGATTGTATATTCAACAATGGAAACTCAAATCACAAATGCATCCATTTCCTAGAAGAACACTGCTCTGCTCATTTAGATTCCTAACATTTCACTGATGCTTTACAGTGTTCAGTTTGTTAACCCTGTTAAAAATATGCAAGTTTGCAAACTCTGGTTAGCTTAAAAAAAGAAGTTAAATGATTCTGTCTTTTCTCCTCCTCTGGTAAAAAAGCATTTTAAAGCTTCTTCAAAAGGATTCACAGAGAAGTTCTCTATGCTATGCAGTATGTTCTCAACTCTGCTTAGTCTATATCTACAGGCACTGAATAGAAACAGTTTCTGAAGGGAAACCAAGGATTCCAGAAGAAAAATAAAGTTCCTTACTTTTTTATAAGGTAATAAACCTTAGAAAGCACATAAACCAAAGCATGATAAATCAGAACAAGTTAAGGCAATCTTCTCATACATTTATCTGCACCTCATTTAGAATGATGTGGGTTTTTGTGGAAGAAGATCCTATCCTGCTCCAGAGGAGCAATGTCACTCCTGGGCAAGAGACCAGGATGGGAACTGACCATGCCTGAGACACCAGGGACAGACTGGCGCTTCCTAAGTCTTGTCCGGATACAGACACTCCTCTTGCCTCATTTACAGTGCCTGTGATTTGAAAACTAAAAAGCTTCTCTGGAATATAAAATAAGTCTCTCTTCAATCCCACCTCCCTTGATGTCTGGGTGTCTTTACCCTTCCCCAAGCCCTGGATACAGCTGCGGTCCCTCCAAACACATTCAGTTCTACTTTTCACAAAGTTCCTATGTCAGGTCACCCAGAACATACACCCAGACTCCTTCGTGCACCCAATTTAGACTTCGAAGCCCTTTAGTCAGAGATTGTCTTTTTACGCAGCATTACAACAAGCTACTGACAATGTTTAAATGGCTGAATTTATGCAAGAGTCACTGTAAGGTTTCTTTTCTGTAATAACTTGACCAAAGCGCATGAGTAGACAAGTGAAAGACCATCTTCCCTCCTCCCCTCCCCCCCAGCTAAAATCCATTTTACTTTAAATCAATATTGTACTAACCAGTACAACCCAACAAAGTACAGTGGCAGAACTGTGCTGACTCCCAGCTGCCTGGTAATTCTTGGTTCTGGAGAAGAGATATTCCTCTTGGTCAGCTCTTCCACTAGTAAGCCCATAGGATTTACAACTTCCCAGATCTCAAACAGGTCTTTTCCAATCAGCTGGGGAATAAAAAAATCCTAAACAAAAAGTATTCAGAAGTTAAATTAATGGCAAAGGTAATGAAGGCTCTAGCTTCTGGCATCTGCTAATAAAAATACAATATGAAGAGGCATTAATACAGTTAACAATAAATTGCTGAGATGAATGATGGAACTGCCTCAGTGCCCTGTCGCAGCCAAGCACAGCTAAGCAGCGTTGCTGCGCCCCACAGCTCTGGTTCTGATTTAGGCACTGAGAGAATGTGCGCCGTGGGCAAAGTCAACTGCCCAGCTATAAAGAAGGCACAGCATCAGCCTGAGAGGGGTTACAACAACATGTAGACACAGCTCTGAGTCTGAGGTAAGCACCTGGGTGCTGCTTCCAAGCAAGTTGACATCAGAAGAGTTCTGCAGACCGGCTGAAGGACTGTGCAGACCCACAGGACCTGTTCAGATCCTCTTACCTGTTAACTGCTACCTGCTCTCACAGAGACCTCCGAATGGTCTCATGCCAGAAATAAGACTTTAACAAACATTTCTCTATTGCAAGACTAGTAACAAGTGAAAAGGGTGACTGAAAGGGCAGTAGCTGCTAAAACTAGTTTATGCTGCATTTTAATTGAACGTTTCTGTATGAAAACTCTTTAAGTGCTTTCCTACATGCCAAACCTATTTTATACACCTGACCAGCCTGTGCTTCTTAAAGAAAAAAAAATAAAATCCACAACCCCAAACCCCCCACCCAACAGATGTAATTGCTAAATTGTCTTGTTACAAACAAGATCTTCTTCTCAAACCTCTGCCAATCTCCCTGGATCTCTGGCCACCAATTTCTGAGACCCTTAGATGTTGTTGTCAGTACAAAAATATATGGTAAGTAATGGCTTACCCTGACAAAGATCCCTGTTTTCTCAGGCCCGCTGCTATCGAGCAAGGCTCCTATCACAGCAAAGAACGTCCTCTGTAGTACAGCTGGTGGGACGGGAAACTCTCTGCAAAGCGTCAGGTCCTGTATAGCCAGGTTTCGAGCCACATAAGAAACAAGTTCCTGACTGGTAAGAAAATCAACGAGTGCTCCTATCCCCTTTGCAGGTAAATCTGGGTAGGCACCTTCAAAGCACTGTGTCAGGTAAGAACGTGAAAAAGACTCCCCTTGCTCAGCAAGTCCACTATTATCTTGCAGATTAAGAACAACCGTTTCTTTGTCTAGCCCAAGTTCTTGGCGTCTTGCCTCTTCACTTTCAATATAACAAGAATTGACAAATGCAGTCTTGAGAAGACCCAAAGAAAAATTCTCATGTACCCGGTGGCTGAAAGCTTGTATCTCTGCATGGTAATCCCAGTTGGGCTTCTCTGACCTACAGACATGGAAAAGAAAACAAAGTCAGACACAGAACAAGGAGTTACCCGCGCTGCACGCAGCCTGCCTTTCCGACAGTCGTAAGGAAATGAAAAACGGCATCGTTTCTGAAGATCAAAACCGGCGTTTAAAAGCCCCTCTTCCTCAGCCTCCCTGTCCCTGAGCCTCGCCATCACTGTCTTCCTCCCCGCCCCCC